AAGGTTATAGCCGAGATATAAAACTACAGAGCGTGATCAAAATTGTGCTCTGTTTTATGTGCGTTGAAAGCCGCGTTGAGTTTATGGAGAGGTGCAATGCAAGTTGAGGAAGCTCTTTCAAATCTGCATAGGTCAGCTATAAACAGCGTTGTTAATAAACCATGCTTAGTGCGCCATCCTTTTGTTGCGCTAGATGCCCTTTTCTACATGAGAAGGTCACGCTTTGACGAAACGCGTCAAAGGAGGAGCATTGCTTCCAGTCATGTCCTGTGTAATGATGAGCGAACTGGCCAGCCAGAAACCTGGGCTCGGAGAACATCCAAGCGAACCTAACCCAGGGATGCCTATGGGCGCTAGCGTCTGGGCTGCAGAGCATTACTGGTAGGGATGCAGGCGGATGAGCCATGACAACCAATGAAACTGAGGCTACCAACATCATGACAATCAATGGTTCTGTGCAGCTCGCATTGGCTGTTAAAAAGCTGACAGCCCCAAAGTGTCATAGGTTGGTATGGGGCTCCCGCCTATGTCCCGCCCAATCAATGATGCTGTGTGGCTAGGCCACCAGACCAGACCATTGGTTTGTTAGGACACAGACAGAGGTTCGGTGGGTGCGCAAAGTGTCCACATATTCTGCCTGGTTGGTGAACTGCGAACAGCTTAGGTTTGGAGACCCAGAAACTCACCTTAGGGATAATGGAAGTGCTCATAATGGGCAAAGCTGGTGTGTGAAATGCTAACATCTTGAGTTTGGGTCAAACACATGGTCAGGTTTGGGTCAAACACATGGTTGGGTTTGGATAGAACACAGGGGATGAGCTTCAGGTTCGACCAACAGACGGAGGTTTTTTGGGTGGTTGAACTAGCCAACCATTTTCCTTTTTGGTGAACTGTGAACAGCTTGGGTTTGGAGACCCAGAAACTCAGCATAGGAAGGGTGGCAACCCCTTATAATGCAGATCTAGAAAGGATTGTCACCAGCACACCAAACGTTTTGAAGCAAAAAGTCCTTTATTGACAAATCGCCATCCAATACAAGCGCTTTCGTGGTCTCAGCAGTACCCCTTCATCTGGCTTCATGCTGAGACCCCGAAAGCCTGATGAAGGGGTATTGCTGAGACCCCGAAAGCGCTTGTATTGGATGGCAATTTGTCAATAAAGGACTTTTTGCTTCAAAACTTTTGATGTGTTGGTGACAATCTTTTCTAGATCTGCATTGTTCACGGGTGCCGTCCGTGGTCACTACAAGCACCCACCTGCTTGGCAGGTTTACTACTATTCCGGTAAGGAGTGCAGCTGGTTCTTGACTACAACCCCTTATAATGGGCACAGCTGGTGTGTGAACTGCCAACAGCTTGGGTTTGGGTCAAACACATGGTCGGGTTTGGATAGAACAGAGGGGATGAGCTTTGGGTTCGATCAAGAGAAAGAGGTCTGTTGGGTAGGCGAACTGGCCAAACCATCCCCCCTTTTGGTGAAGAGTGAACATCTTGGGTTTGGAGATCCAGGAACTTAGTGTTGGGAAGGTGGGAACCTCGAACAATGGACGCAGCTGATGTGCTAACTGCTAACAGCTTGGGTTGGGTGGTACACATGACCAGGTTCAGGTCAAACACAGGGGATAAGCTCTGGGAGGATAGAGGTTAGTCGGGTGGGGAATCTGGCCAAACCATTTGCCCGTTTGGTGACTGTGAACAGGGCAGGACCTAGGTTAAGGTCAAACACAGGGATGAGCTTCAAGTTTGGGTCAAACACACGGTCAACCCAAACCTGAAGCTCCTCCCTAGTCCAGTGTATTACTGGAGGCATTATCCATAGACAAGACATCATATTGTGCCATACTGCATGTTACACCAAGTCACATCCTGCACAACATTGGAAGTCTCATCCGCGAGCACAACAAAGCTTCAAGACATTTGGATCGCAGAGCGCAGGTGACCTTTCATAATTTTAAGGTCATTCCCTTTCGGTAATTGTCTTCTCATACGGGTGAAGGAATCACAAGTATCGTTGAGTGCAACATACAAATTGGTTGGAAAATCAGAGCAGATGAGAAATGGAAGCTGTGGCTCCAATGTGGACGGCAGTGGGGTTCACTTCTGAACACAGACGTTTCTTTGAGGTTGTAACTATTTCACGTTTTAATGATAATGAGACACATTGTTACATTTGTTTCAAGTTTTATGATTCACGTTTTGATTAGCCAGCTCTATTAGGGTTGCCGGCTTTTCTTCAAGTGAACCCGAACACTCTAGTGACGCACTGAAATGTTTGGGGAGAATGAGTTGTGGCTTATTCCTATGTAAATAGCGCCGTGCATTCATATGCAAATATCACAGTTGAGACTATTTTCAGTGGGGGGCCCAGTAGCCCCTGTCTTAATCAGCTCCTAGCTTTCATTTTCAAAGTTTAACTGAATAAAATGAAGATAGAAGCTGATTGGTGGCCATGCCCAGCTGCTCCAGATTCTGTCTGCTCCGGTTTTACTAAATTGGTCTCCATTGCATCAAAAGGAATACTAAAAACTTCCTATTTTTAAGCTTGATTACATTTTTATATACCAGCTGAGTAAGGGAACATAAATACTTTCTTAAAGGTTCGGAAACACTTCAATGTTATTTTGTTCACCACCAATCCCCTCTGGGTTCCTGTGAGGCACTTCTCCGAAGCCCTCCTGTTCCCCTCCTTGGGTCTACATGTACTATCATTTCACTGTGCAAGTGTGCCCCGTCAGTCCTCCCTGGCTGCCTGTACATATGATTGACTTGGAGTCTCTCTCCTGGGAGCATGCACATAAGGGTGGCTCCATAAGAACCTAAAAGGCCACTTGGCCAACCAAAAACTGGGAACCTGGGGCAGCAATCTATGGAGCCTTTTAACTAAGAAGAAAGACCAAGATTTTAAAGAACGAGCAGCACACAGGAAAGTACTTAGGTCAGCCTGTTGTAACTGATATTGTTTTATGTCTTGATAACACTTTCATATTTCCTTTTCTGCATACTACGCAGGAGAAAGCAAAACCCACATCATACAAAAATCCTATTATGGCTGTGTGCTACTGGATATTGCAGAGACACACCTGCCCAGTAACTTTGTAAAGTCCCGCCCCTGATAACTGTAAAGCCCCACCCTTGTGTTAAAGGATGACTATAAAGCCCCATCCTTGCTTTAAAGGATGACTATAAAGCCCCACCCCTGCTTTGAAGGATAACCGTAAAGACGCACCCCTGCTTTAAAGCATAACTATAAAGTCCCACCCCTGCTTTAGAGGATGACTATAAAGTCCCACCCCTGCTTTAGAGGATGACTATAAAGTCCCACCTATCCCACCCCTGCTTTAGAGGATGACTATAAAGTCCCACCTCTGCTTTAGAGGATGACTATAAAGTCCCACAGCTGCTTTAGAGGATGACTATAAAGTCCCACCCCTGTTTTAAAGGATGACTATAAAGCCTCACCCTTGCATTAAATAATGACTATAAAGCCCCACCCTTGCATTAAATGATGACTATAAAGCGCCACCCCTGCTTTCAAGGATGACTATAAAGCCCGACCCTTGGTTTAAAGGATGACTATAAAGCCCTATCCTTGCTTTAAAGGATGACTATAAAGCCCCACCCCTGCTTTGAAGAATAACCGTAAAGACCCACCCCTGCTTTAAAGCATAACTATAAAGCCCCACCCCTGTTTTAGAGGATGACTATAAAGTCCCACCCCTGTTTTAGAGGATGACTATAAAGCCTCACCCTTGCATTCAATGATGACTATAAAGCCCCACCCATGCCTTAAGGATGAATGAAAAAGGCCCACCCCTGCATTAAAGAATGACTGCAATTCTGTATCAAATACTAGCCCAGAGAAAGAGACGAGAACACTGAAAGGCAGATAAATCATTTTATTTACGTATATGTTGGTAGCAAATAAATTTTTTTATCTCTAGCCAACACAAGTTTTTTGATTAGGGTAGAGAACCTTTGTCAAGTTTTTATTTCTATCCTCTGCTGGGGAGATTCGCACCCCCCCATTTGCCTTGCTGACCATTGTCACCTCCATATAGTGATGGGAAACATACAATTTTACAGCTCCAAAACAGGAAGTTGTTAAAATCTTGCATTCGGGACACCTGTTCTGGTGACAGGTATCCAAGAAAGGATTCACCTTCTCTTCAGAGAGGTTTCCTTCCACATCCTGTTGTAAAGGGAAATCTCCTCAAAGGAACATAGATGGAAAAAAAAAAAAAGACAAAAACACCTTAGAGGAGAACTCCATCCAAAAATAAGATCAAAAAAATGAACAGCCCATTAATAAAAATAATAAAAATAACAAAAACAACTTTTGCTGCAATATTCAGCTTCATTCTAGAGATTTCTACTACCACTTTTTTGCCACTAGGTGTCCCCAGTCTGACCACCAACATCTCTCAAGTCACTTCCTCCGATCCTAGGTCGTCCTGGATGCACTGGTGAGAAGGATGGAAGTAACAGATTTGTGTTTTCTGGCTTCTGAAATCTTCCAGAACATTAAACATTTAAAATACCTGAATGGTCCCCTTTAAGGTGAAAGGTCTAATTGCTGCGGAGTAGATAAAAGGCGGCAGATCAGCGGTTCACCACTTCAGCACCTTTTTATAAGTGTAATATCAATTTTGGGCAGACTGTTCCTTTAATAACGCCAGGCATTGAGATTTCGGAATCGATTTCCTGCGAGGCGCAGACGTTCCGATGTCTCGGAGTGAAACTTCAGTCGGCGTTACTGAACACAGTAAATTGATCTGCAGTGATTTGTGTAGTTATGTTGTCATCAGGAAAAAAAAAGGATGACAGTTCCAGACGCATTTCGCATGTTCTTATTTCTTCTTTGATGTTTGAAGTCCGTTGCCAGGGCTACGAGCAAAAGTAAAATGTTTTTTTGTAATCTGCCCGAAAATTGTTATAATCACATACAAGACGAGAAGCCGAAAAGAAGGAACGCGCGATCATTTGTATTAAAGGGACACCGCCATGTCAGGGGTTTATCGGATGGAAGACTTTGTTCTTAGCATAGGGGCTCAGTTTGAACATTTTGGGAAAAGACAGGCGAGGATGAAACCAATGAGGGAGCAGATTACGAAGACAGCACCAAACTTACCTGCCGGGGGGGAACGGTAAAGAGGTCATTGTGGAGGAAAGGGGAACGAGGAGACTTTGTGATACAAAGAGGAGCAGCTGAGAGAAAGAGGAGAGGAGAGGGGGGAGAGAGCACAAGAGCGCGAGAGAGAGAGAAAGAGAGAGAGAAAGGGTGGAGAGAGAGAAAGAAGAGAGTGAGAAAGGAGAAGTGGAGAGAGAAGATGAGAGAGGGAGAGAGGAGGAGAAAGAAGAGAGGAGAAGGGAGGGGGAGAGAGGAGAAGAGGAGGGAAGGAGAGAGAGAGAAGAGGGGAGAGAGAAGAGATGACAAGAGGATGGAAGGAGAGAAGAGAGGGGGAGAGAGAAGAAGAGAGGAGAAGGGGGGGGGGAAGGAGAAGAGGAGGGAAGGAGAGAGAGAGAAGAGGGGAGAGAGAAGAGATGACAAGAAAGAGGAGGGAAGGAGAGAAGAGTGAGAGAGGGGAGAGAGGAGAAGAGGGGAGAGAGAAGAGGAGACGAGAAGAAGAGGGAAAGAGAGAGAGCGGAGGAGAGGAGAGAGGAGAGGATGGAGAGATAAGAGAAGAGAAAATGGAGAAGAGAAACAGAGTGCGGGAAAAAAAAACATGAGAGGAGAGAGAGGAGTGAACACTGACAGTATTATTCCTCTGAACACTCTATGGAGCACAATAGGCAGTACACTCCTCAGTCCTGTCTGCATGTCCTGCACCCCAATGAGCCCCATCTGGACTCCGCCCCACCATAAAATATGATCCGTTATTCCGTCAGAAAAAGTTCTGATTATTCCTAACATTACAGACACACAGACAGCTCGCAGGAATAAACAATATCAGTGTCTGCACTCCTGAACCGCAGAGTCTATTACACGGCACACACAGGAAAACTGACATTATTCTGAAAATTGTTCTCTGAGGTGATAATAAAATCCCAGCTCGCCGGCGGAGATGCGAGCCCAGCCGCGGCTAAAGGAGAACTCTGCCAAGCACTGTGTTTGTATTTATAGACACCCACATCACACATTGCAGAAAAATAATTAGAAAAGTTACAATATTGAAGCAGCTTCTATGCAGATCAGGACATTGGAGTGGCCCCGAAACATTGCTTAGTGACGAGATGAGTTTTCATTAATAAAATGCCCACTAGTTGAAGATTTTTCTTCAGTGTGCTGGGGATAAATTTTACTATCTCTTTTAGTATGTCCACAGTCTCTGGTAGTAGGCCTAGTATCTCTTAACCATCTACTGCCATATATCCACAGTCTTCAACCCTCACGTGTAGTATGTCCACTGACCATCGTCTGTGGCATGTTCACTCTCTAACCATCTTCTGTAGCACGTCCACAGTCTCTGACTATTACCTGTAGTATGTCCACGGTTTCTGACCATCGTCTGTGGCATGTTCACTCTCTAACCATCTTCTGTAGCATGTCCACAGTTTCTAACTGGTAACTGTAGTATATCCACAGTCTCTGACCATTGACTGTAGCATGTCCACAGTTTCTAACACGTTCCTATTGTATGTCTACGTTTACATACGTAGGCGCACCCGACGCGTGCTTACGTGGCGGCGCGCATGCTCGCGGGGGACTTTAAAAATGTTTTTATTATTATTATTAGATTTATTTATTTTGATTTTCATTTTAAAAACTGTTTTTTTTTGTTTTTTTTACTTTACTTTGACTGCTATCACATGGGGGGGCTTACAAGCCCCCCCATGTGATAGTAGATGGTGGTGACAGGTACTCTTTAAGGTGATGCAAAAGACCCCCAGTGTCACCTTTACACTGGAAATAAGCTATTGAAGTGCAGATCGCACATCAATAGCTTATAGCTGGGCTGCAGGAGCCCAGAACTGACAGCCCAGGGACCGGAAATGATGCAATCTGCATCGCTCCCGGTCCCATAGAACGGGGAGTGGATCGATGAACGGAAGTTCGTCGACCTCCTCCCCAGCTCCCCACAGACACCAAGGGCGCCGGTCCCGGGCCTGTAGGAAGGGCAACGGAGCCCCGGAAGCACCGCGGCGGTGTCCGGCGGGGGCGGCCCCTTCATCGGGACACAGAAGCGATCTGGCGACAGGTGAGTCGCCAGGATCGCTTCTGTTGTAAAGCCGACAATCGTCTCTACAAGTTTAAACAGAGTCCCGGCGGCAAAAGTCGCCGGGAGTCTGTTTAAACAGCCCCGATGCTGGCGACGTACACTGTACGTCGTCAGTCACGAAGGGGTTAAGCGGTAACGGGGAAATTCTTTGTGTTTGGCGCACTTTGACGCACTTTTAGTGCGGCAGGGATTTGTGCGTTTAGCAGAAGCGAATTTCCACAACAATGGCAACATCCGCAATAAACTTTTTACTATAAACTCCATAACAAAGACTAGAGGCCACCACCTAAAACTGGTGGAGAAAAGATTTAACCACAAGGGGCTTCTTCTCAGTTAGAGAGGTTACAATCTGGAACTCGCTGCCACAAGCAGTGGTATCAGCTGAGAGTATTGAATCAATCAAAAATCAATTAGATACCTTCCTCAGAGACCACACACAACATACAGGGGTACAGGTACTCTTAAGGTTCCCATACACTGCACGATTCTCGTACGAGAATCGCAGGAAATCCCACGATCGTACGAGAATCGTGCAGTGTATGGAGGGCATGCAACCGTTTCTACTGTACGGTCGCACGTCTTCCATCGAACCAGCATGTTTGAAAACCCGCCGGGGATCGTACGATTCTCGGCGAGTTGGTGGCCTGCTGGTTCGACAACTGCCGAACGGGCTGGTGTGCGCACGCGCACACTGCCCGTTTGCAGTCAGCGTAAGCCCGCCCCTCATTACAGTCATCGCAAGCCCGCCCCTCAGAGAGTGCGATATGCCCGTCCAAGATGGGCAGATCGTACGTTTTTTTAATCCCTTTACAACCCTCGCAAGACTAAGGTCTTGCGATGGTTGTACAGTGTATGGCCACCTTTAGTCAGCCGCCTAGGGAGGACTGCAACCTAGGGTGCAGCCTTGACCATTCAGCGCCCACAGCGCCCCCGTCTATTTCAAATTGCAAAAGCCAATTAGAAAGGCTGGCTATTGCACCCGTCCAGTGAGCAGAGGAGCGTAAGTGAGAGACAACTTTCTCTCTCAGGTTCGCTCCTCTGCTCAGTGGGAGAGTGAAGGTGCGGGGTATCTGCGAGGGTCGGCACCTTGACTCAAGGTGAGTATTGAAACAAAAACATTATTATTATTATTATTATTCATAAAAATAATAATAATAAATAATAATAATACAAATATTTATTTTTATACCCAACTGGGGAATTTATTTTTTAAAAAGACATTTTTTATTATCCCAAAACCTGAAGTTGGACTTCAAATGACCTTTGGGGGGACCTCGGGGGGACCAAATGATCCCCCGAGGTGGATATTGTTAGACACTCTGCCTGAATATTTTGCAACAAAAGCAGCCCCACTTTATTTCCGAAAAAGTCGGCTTAGCAGAATCCTTTAAACTCAACTCAACGAGAGCAGAAATATACAGGCAGCAGATTCGGTACATTTTGTGCCGAGCACAAGCGTCGCTTCCACCCTCGTCTTCTGCAAAGACTTAATACCTTATTGATATGCTGGGGGTATGGTGAAAGCACGACGCAGCAGAATTGCTGAGAGTGGGTAGGATGGGGGGCGGGGGGGGTGGGTGCCCAGCTAATTGGAGCCTGCAGCTTAACTCTCCGCTCCGAGCAGATGCATGCTCACAGCTCATTCTGAAACACAACTTCCCTGGCCAAAAAATAAAAGGAATATGTGAGGTGAGGAAGAGCTTTCATGTTTGCTGCAGGGAGGCTCTACGTGGAATACACAAGCCGTGTTTTTTCCTTTCCGTAGAAAACGCTCCTGGATTTCTCGGAGGTGGGAGAGCGCTCTTCAAAAGGGATGCCGCTGATGCATAATGCACATTGTTAAAGGGGACCTCTGCTGAGAAATATGCGGGAGGGCTGAAAATGCTGATCGCCTGGCTTTAACACATTCTGAGGAGGAGAAGGGGAGAGGAAGTAGCTGGCAGGATACGCATGTCTCAAAATCCCCAACGCATTTGAAATAGTTTAAGTATGATCTGTATATGTAAGCTGGGATGGAAAAAAATCAGGGTGTTTAAAGGGCCACTCTGCATAATTGTGGTATTTTAGTTATAGGTGGAGTCTGGCGGGCTGAGTCAGCTCCTTGCTTCTTCTATGTCTGGGATACTGCGACAGTGAGACCTCCTTGACATAATTCCAGGCTCAGGGATGGTGGGAGTCACTCATAATGGGCACAGCAGGTGTACAGACCTGGGAACTCAGCACAGGGATGGTGGGAGCCCCTCATAATGGGCACAGCAGGTGTATAGACCTGGGAACTCAGCACAGGGATGGTGGGAGCCCCTCATAATGGGCACAGCAGGTGTATAGACCTGGGAACTCAGCACAGGGATGGTGGGAGCCCCTCATAATGGGCACAGCAGGTGTATAGACCTGGGAACTCAGCACAGGGATGGTGGGAGCCCCTCATAATGGGCACAGCAGGTGTATAGACCTGGGAACTCAGCACAGGGATGGTGGGGGCCCCTCATAATGGGCACAGCAGCTGTACAGACCCAGAAACTCAGCACAGGGACCTCATAATGGGCACAGCAGGTGTACAGACCCGGGAACTCAGCCCAGGGATGGTCGGAACACCTTATAATGGGCACAGCAGCTGTACAGACCCAGAAACTCAGCACAGGGATGGTCGGAACACCTTATAATGGGCACAGCAGCTGTACAGACCCAGAAACTCAGCACAGGGATGGTCGGAACACCTTATAATGGGCACAGCAGCTGTACAGACCCAGAAACTCAGCACAGGGATGGTCGGAACACCTTATAATGGGCACAGCAGGTCTACAGACCCGGGAACTCAGCTTAGAAATTTCACCTACAGAGTACTTGAAAGATGTTCATTTTAGAAGTTTAATCCTTCAGCATCTACGAAACGTCAAAATATCAGATTCAGGCAGAATGTCTTTTATTTATATGATACACTGTGCAGTTGTTTCTTATAAATGTACAAAAATGTTGTAAAAAGTACATAAACAGCCGACAGAGGATGGGGAAAAAAATAAGTGCGCAGAGAATACAAGTGCTTTGTAGAGAAGTCTGAAATGTGGCTTTGATCCTGCAAACCCGACTAACTCTCGGGGAGCCAAACTTGTCTCCTCTCTCCTCCTCATTAAACTTGGAGTTATATACACAATATGAAGCAACCACGGACATCGGGTGTAAAAAAATATAAACTGGTGAACAGAGGGAGAGAAAGAAAAAAGAAGAATGAGAGAAAAAAGTAAAAAAAAAAAAAAATGTGAGGGAAGGGGGGCGGCAAGCATGCAAGAGAGAGTGTGAGTGCAAGAGAGAAAGAAGAGAGAGCAACAACAACAAAGTGAGAGCGAGAGTGAACATGTGGGAGCAGGAGAGGAGAGGTCGAGAGTGCAAGAGAGAGATAACAAGAGAAAGACAGCATGAGAGCAAGAGAGTGAGGAGAGAGCAAGAAGAGAGAGAGAGAGCTGGAGAATGAGAGCAAGAAGAGAGAGAGAGAGAGAGCTGGAGAATGAGAGCAAGAAATCAGCAATGAGAGAGCGAGAGAGAGAGAGAGAGAGAGAGAGAGAGGAGAGAGCAAGAAAGAGGAGAGCAAGAGAGGACAGAGAAAGAGAGCAAGCGAGGACAGAGAAAGAGAGCAAGCGAGGACAGAGAAAGAGAGCAAGAAGAAAAAGAGAGCAGGGGAGCAAGAAAGCAAAGTGGGAGAGAGAAAGAAAATGAAGGAGCAGGAGAGAGAGAGAGAGTGCAAAAAAAGAGGAGAGAGCAAGAGAGAGATAACCAGAGAGAGAAAGAAGACAGGGAAGGAGAGAGCAGGAGAGCTGGAGCAAAAAAGTGAGAGCGAGAGAGCAAATGAGGAAGTAAGGGAGGACAGAGCAAGAGTGCAAGAAAGAAAAGAGAGAGCAGGAAAAGAGAGATCAAGAGAGAATGAGAGTGACAGCAAGCGAGAGAGTGCAAGAGAGCATGAGAGCAAATGGGAGAGGGCAAGAGAGAGAGGGAGATCGTAAGAGAGAGAGCATGCAAGAGAGCAAACAAAAGTGAGAGAGAAAAAAGAGCAAGAGAGGGAGGGAAAATAAGATGAAAGGGAGAGAGAATCTACAAAAGAGCACCCAAGGGTGTGACAACGCTGGTCCTCCATAGACAGAGTGCGGTGAGTGAGCGTTCTCACCCAGGAAGTGCGTTTCTGGCAGGATCACCAGGTGAAAATAAAAGTATATAATAAAATTATACATCATGTGAACATCAGTGACAGTTGCTTGGAACCAAGGTAAGCAATTACAAATTATCAGATGTGATCAATCTATTGATTGGTTCCATTTTGTTCCCTCACATATAAATGGGTTTGCGGGGGTCTCAGTCCTCGCTATGGATTTCACATCCGCCAATACATGTCCCGGTCATAATCACAAATGTATTCCTGCAGATTGAACCTTCATTAAAGACAGTAATATATGTTCTCGTATTGACCCGTGTCCCGGCCGAGCGCACAAACCGCCCTTCGGGGGCCAATCTGCTAATAGATCCGGCAACCTCTTCACCTTTCCACTGCCTTCACCCGTCAGCCCGAAAAAGAGGTTATTAAATATCGAATTGCACTAAATCTGTTCTGACATCTGTGTGGGTCAAAGAGTAACTCCGAAAAAATTAAAAAAACATAATTTTCCGACTGATTTATGAGTATTCGTCCTTGAATTGTGGTGAGTTTTGTGTATTTCTTCCAGATCTGTGTAATAATCCACCGTGAGACTTGGAGCTTCCTAAAGACCGCTCACTGCTGTTCTCTCAACTTGTTCAGGGTGACTGGTCTTGTCTCCGCCCCCTCCTGTTATAAAGACCGCTCACTGCTGCTCTCTCAACTTGTGCAGGGTGACTGGTCTTGTCTCCGCCCCCTCCTGTAATAAAGACCGCTCACTGCTGCTCTCTCTCCTTGTAAGGGGTAACTGGTCTTGTCTCCGCTCCCTCCTGTAATAAAGACTGGTCACTGCTGCTCTCTCCTTCTGCAGGGTGACTGGTCTTGTCTCCGCCCCCTCCTGTAATAAAGACCCATCACTGCTGCTCTCTCCTCGTGCAGGGTGACTGGTCTTGTCTCCGCCCCCTCCTGTAATAAGGACCGCTCACTGCTGCTCTTTCTCCTTGTGAAGGGTGACTGGTCTGGTCTCCGCCCCCTCCAGGAATTAAGACTGGTCACTGCTGCTCTCTATCCTTGTGCAGGGTGATTGGTCTTGTCTCTGCTCCCTCCTGCAGTTCCCTGTAATAGGTGGGGCCTGCACAGACTATGTACAGCATAGGGATGATTGCAATATTCGGGTTTGCAAACGCACCTTAGGGTAACAACACTCGCTCGTTCCACTGTATCTATGAAGGAGCAGTGATGTCATCTTAGGACAAACTCTTTGAACACCCTCCATCTACTGCTCTCTGTAGCATAAGGGCAGGTGTTCTGTAGTCCACAGAGAGAACTGGGAACAATGTTAACTAGAAGCAGCGCAGCACAGGAAGTTATCAGCTGACAAGATTTCTGGAAGGATCAACAGGAACTTCTTTTCACTTTTCTAACAGAGATAACAAAACGCTTTCAACTGGATATTTAACAGACCAAAAGGGAGCGAATAAGAGAAGATCGGGGTGTACAAGACGAGGACATCAAATCATTCTTCATTACCCCCACAGGGAAGAATCTGTTGATAGTTAATAAAGAAATCTAATGAAGAGGTAATGAAGGAAACAAACTTTCCAGGATACAAATTGACTCCTTAAGGGTAAAAAGTAACCGAAATAAATAAGTTGTCGCATTCACTTAATAGCAGCAGACGCAGATCTCCCCAGAGGGATGGAAGGAACGTTCTCCTGTGTTCCAACATGGAATACTATAGAAGTGAAAACTGAACTCCGGGTGCAAATCCTTCATTTAAATATATTCCACAATAGCCACAGAGAGTATAAATCTACATTGTGTGCACCAAATACCTTTACAAACCCAGATACCACCTGGACAAAGTATTGGGCCCAGCAGGCTTCACCCACTACAGGCTGCCTGCAGAAAACTACAGGAGGGGGCGGAGACAAGACCTGTCACCCTGCACAAGGAGAGAGAGCAGCTGTGAGCGGTCTTTAATACAGGAAGTCTCACACTGGATTACTGCGCAGATCTGGAAGAAATACACAAAGCTCACCAAGATTCAAGAAGAACTCACATGACTCTTGTATGAGGACAATATTTAATTATTCCGGAGTTCAGCTTTAAAGGAGAACTATGGAGTCAGTGTTTTTCCCCATAGTTCTCCTAAGGGTCACGGGAGGACACAAACTAGCGTCCTCCCGTGACCCAAAGCTCAGTATAGTGCGAGCTACAGCTCACACCTCACACTAATCCTTCCTGTAACCCCAACACTAACCTTCGCTAATCCTCCCTGTAACCCCAACACTAACCTTCGCTAATCCTCCCTGTAACTCCAAAACGAACCCTCCCTGTAATCCTCACACTAATCCTCCCTGTAACTCCAAAACTAACCTTCCCTAACCCCCACACTAACCCTCCCTGTAACCTCAACACTAACCCTCCCTGTAACCCCAACGCTAATCCTCCCTGTAACCCCAATACTAATCCTCCCTGTAACCCCAACGCTAATCCTCCCTGTAATCCCAATACTAATCCTCCCTGTAACCCCAACACTAACCCTCCCTGTAACCCCAACACTAACCTTCGCTAATCCTCCCTGTAACCCCAACACTAACCTTCGCTAATCCTCCCTGTAACTCCAAAACGAACCCTCCCTGTAATCCTCACACTAATCCTCCCTGTAACTCCAAAACTAACCTTCCCTGTAACCCCAACACTAACCCTCCCTGTAACCTCAACACTAACCCTCCCTGTAACCCCAACACTGACCATCCCTGTAACCCCAACACTAACCCTCCCTGTAACCCCAACACTAACCTTCCCTGTAACCCCAACACTAACCCTCCCTATAACCCCAACACCAACCTTCCGTATAACCCCAATACTAATCCTCCCTGTAATCCTCACACTAATCCTCTCTGTAACCCCAACACTAACCCTCCCTGTAACCCCAACACAAATCCTCCCTGTAACCCCAACACTAATCTTCACTGTGGGTGGGAAGGTGACACCTCTGTATTCATTCATTCTAACAAAGTACAAATGAAAACGTTGCTGTACAGACTTACAATTCCTTTGGCAGGTACGTCAGTACTCATATCTACACTTCACTGGTGTTTTTAGCCGTATGCCCAGAGTTCCCCTTTAAATGATGGGTTAAAGGGACACTCCATGATACAGCACTGCCGAGTCCTCAAATAGAAAACATAATAGAATTGTATCTTTGTAAAGGGAACCCGTCATCTGTATGAATAGTTCTATTGTCATTTAAAGTGGCGTGAACAGGACAAATGAATTCCCCCGCGTCAGCAATCCCGGCACTTCTGAACGCCTTTTATATGCAGCAAAATGCATTTCGGGTTCAGGGATCCCCGAGACTCTGACTGTTCTGCCGCTGACGCCGTCGCTCATTGGCTGCGCTCTGAACGGTGATTATCATGAGTAATTGTGGAGGAATTGTCACTTATCTCGCCGTTCAGGCTGCGCAATTATGTTACAAGATTTTCGCCATGGAACGCTCTGCAGGAACGTGCGTTCCTCTCATGATAACGGAGGTTTAGTTCAGCAGAAACCATAAAGAACATTCCTCAGAAGAGGCTCCAGAAAGCTACACGTGATGTGAAGCCTTAAAGAGACGGCGTTCTCAGAATGTGGAGTTTGTTAGCTTTCCGTGGATGCTGGAAAGTTAAGCGCCTGACAATCTCTTCTATCCCTTGAGGACTCTATTGTTGATATCCTTGTGCTGATTTCCCGGGTCTATACACCCGCTGTTCCCATTATGAGGGGTTCCCAACAAAACCATGCCGAGTTCCCAGGTCTGTACACCTGCTGTGCCCATTATGACGGTTCCCACTATCCTTGTGCTGAGTTGCGGGGTCTATACACCTGCTGTGCCCATTATGGGGGGCTCCCACCAAAGAGGGCATTAGAAGCAGGGTTAGGGCTACAGAGAGGGTATGTATTAGAGTTCCAGGAAGGGCAAGTGTTGGGGTTGCAGGAAGATTTAGTATTGGGGTTACAGGGAGACCCGCCGAGACGTCACTGCGCATGCGCGTGACATCACCACACGCGTGACGTCATCGCGCAGGCGCGGCAGTATTCTGATACCTGCCGGCGGCCATCTTGGTGATGGACGCCGGCAGAGAGAGGAGGGGACAGTCACCCGGCGGGATAATGTATGCCGCCGGGTCCCCTCCTCTCTCCTGATACTTTTCTGAGGGGGGTGACACCAAAATGACTGCGAGTCATTTTGGTGTCACCCCTCCAATGGTGTCACCCGGGTGTGGGCCGCACCCCCTGCACCCCGCTTGTGACGCCACTGGTTACAGGGAGAGTTAGTGTTGGGGTTGCAGGAGGAATTAGAGTTAGGGTTGCAGGAGGAATTAGTGTTAGGGTTACAGACAGCCTCCAGCACCAATACCCTGCCACTGAAAGCTGAAAATATCAACTGGACAACAGAATGAAGCTTGGGATCATGTAGAAGGTAGACGGTATCCTCAAGTCCACCTCCATGCAATGCCTTCACGTGTGACTCAGCCCCTTTAAATCCCAACACTCTTTTTTCCTTCAAATATCTCCGCCGCCGATTCCCATTGTAGGACGCGGAATGCTTTGTCTGACACCTCGCTCTTTTCACGTGAGAGATGTCGGCGAGCAGCGCAAGGCCCGTTCCTATCACAAATGGTTGTAATCGTTTCACATCTCCCGGAGTAATGAATAGTCAAATATTAGCAGCCCGGTCACAAGCGAGGAACGCGTTCTAGTCACATTTTCATTCGACAAAAACCTTGAAAGAGCACAAAGCAAAAAAAAAAGGGGAAATTAAAAAAAAGAACGGCGCAAAAGAGCGAGATTCATTCATACGAAAAAAAGACCAAAAAAACCCCCACAATGCTCTGAAAAGCCTTTTATTTAACGGTGAATCCACTTCTATCATAAAGGGAAACTCCGCATTGATCCCCAAATCTCAACATTGTTATACTAAACAATCGGTTTTGAACCAATCAATGGATTTTGATTGCTTTTGATTGGTTATAATTATATTACAGTATTAATTTATCACAGTACATCTTTCCACCCATCTATCATCCATCTATTATGAGTATGTCTATCCATCTGTCTATCATCTACTTGTCTATAATCTATTTGTCTATCTGCCTATCATCTGTCATCCATCTCTCATCCATCATCCACCTGTCCATCATCTATTTGACTTCTTGTATCTGTCTGTCATCTGTCTATTATGTGTCTGTCCATCATCCATCTGTCCATCATCCACCTGACCATCATCTATTTGTCTTTCATTTATCTGTCTATTATGTGTCTATCCATCTGTCCATCATCCATCTGTCCACCATCCATCTGTCCACCATCCATCTGTCCATCATCCATCTGTCCATCATCTATTTGTCTTTCATTTATCTGTCTATTATGTGTCTATCCATCTGTCCACCATCCATCTGTCCATCATCTATTTGTCTTTCATGTATCTGTCTGTCATCGGTCTATTATGTGTCTGTCCATCATCCATTTGTCCACCATCCATCTGTCCACCATCCATCTGTCCACCATCCATCTGTCCATCATCTATTTGTCTTTCATGTATCTGTCTGTCATCGGTCTATTATGTGTCTGTCCATCATCCATCTGTCCATCATCTATTTGTCTTTCATGTATCTGTCTGTCATCGGTCTATTATGTGTCTGTCCATCATCCATCTGTCCATCATCTATTTGTCTTTTATGTATCCGTCTATCCATCTGTCCATCATCTCTCTATTATGTGCCCGTCTATCCATCATCCATCTATTATGTGTCTGTTTGTCCATCTGTCCATCATCTGTCTGTCTTTCATTTGTCTATAATATCTCTGTCTATCCATCAATCATCTACCTGTCTATCATCTGTCTATTCCTCTATCTATCTATCTATCTATCTATCTATCTATCACTATCTTTCCACGTATCTACACATCTATCATCCATCTGTCTATCTGCCTATCTATTCATCTGTCTATTCATCTGTCTATTCACCTGTCTATTTTCATTTATCTATCTATTCATCTACTTATCATCTGTCATCTATCTGTCCATCTATACACAGTGGAATGTTTGTACTTTGGAAAAGGGGCCCAAAAGTTTGTACTTGAAAAGGGGCCCAAAAGTTGTTCTCAGGGTTCCTTTGGTGACAATGTCCCCCACGTGTCAAAGCCACGCTCATTTTCGAGAAAGTCATGTCCGTGAACATTCCGCCGACATGTCAGTGTTGTCTCTGATATTTTTAGTACACTATAATAAACTTTGGAGAAAAAGATCTTGATGCTGAAAATTACTGATTAGAGCGACCTTTCTTCTCACTGACTGACCTTTAAATCCATAATTATAGCTGAATGTTAAAAAAAACACGGCATTGCCCTATAAATAGATGAAATGTGCTTTATCCTTCCTTGTGAGAAAACAAAGCGTGCATGAACGACGTGGCTGAGCAAATGAGTTAATGTGATATTATTCATGAATCCCGCTACGTGCACCTGGGACAGCCAGTGATCATTGAAAATGTCACCCCGGTTCATTACGGAGCCCAACTCCAGTCAAGACTTCCTTTTAAAAGTTTTAGCTATGGTGAGGGAGGGAGGGTAGGAGTCAGGTTGTGTTGGTTGAAGTCTATGGACATGTGACCTTTTCTAAACCAACTTAAGCCTGACCTCCGTCCTTCCCTTCAGTCTTGCACAGTTGTAAAGACTCCTGTCCTGGACTGAAATGGCTTCCTCTGATTTCACTGCACACTGCGAGCATCTCACAATGTGCATTTGAAGCTGCAGCAAATCAGACAGAGCCCTCAGAAGTGTCAGAGGTTGGGATCAAGGGGGGTATATTTTTTTGTTTTGTTTGGGTGGCAGAGGGCTGGTAGGAAAACAGACCTCTAAGCCTTTGTGGCATCTGTGTTAGGAAGCGGGTGGATGGGCTTTGGGCTTGTGCCAATTATATTAGTTTAAGATGCTCCTGAGGTCATTCAGAATTCATTGACAGGTATATTTGACCTACAGATGAGATCCTTCTGACCTGCTTGAAGCAGGATTTGCATTCTTCTTGACTTGCATGAAGGCCCTTATGCTTTGGCTTTGCAACGAATGATTGTTTAAAACAAAACAAAAAATGATATAGTTAAAAAAATTTGAAAGCTGTTTAATAAAAAATACTTGTACAAAACAAACAAAATAAATGATTATATATATACACACACACAGACACACACACACACACACACACTATACACCGAGTGGGCAGATTATTATGACCACCTGACGTTTGTAGGCAAATAATAAGCTAAAATTTGGCGCTGAAGTTGCTAGAAGACCAGACCATTATAAATAGTAGAGGTGCACCGAAATGGAAATTTTAAAACCGAAACCGAAATGTAAAAAAATATGTCAGGCCGAAACCGAAACCGTTACCGAAAATGTTTTTTATTTTTTCAAATTTTTTTTATATTTTATTTTTATTTATTTTTTATAAACTTTTTAATTTTTTAAGCGGTGGAAGGTAGAGTGGGTGAGGTGGAGGATGTCATCGGGGCCCACACGGCGACACTGCGCATCCTCCAGACTAAAGTTAAGGCACTGGAGTCCCGGGCAGTGGATGCAGAGAACCGGAACCGACGCAGTAATCTCCGGGTACTGGGTCTGCCGGAGGGAAAAGAGGGCCAAGATCCACTCACCTTCGCTGAGTCCCTGATCCGATCCCTGCTCCCTAAGGCACAGCTTACAGCTTCTTTGCAGTCGAGCGGGCTCATCGCATGCCTTCTATCCGTGGCCCCCCGGGAGCCCCCCCGCGCACTTTTATCTTCAAACTCCTGAACTTTAGAGACATTCAATTCAGTAATGTCCAATTCAGTAATGTCCCGGGCGCTGAGTGTACTGATCCACAAATCGATTTATTTGGATGTATTTGTATCTTTATTTTTTGAGTTACCATTATTGTATTGTCTTGTATTGACTGCTGGAAATGCTGTGTTCAGAAGGTCGATCTGTAACTGTCATTGTCTTTTTGTGATTGTCTTTTTTTTTTGTATGAAAAAATTCAATAAAAGTTTTACCTGTAAGGCTGGGTTCACACCTAGGCGTATTACGCATGCACGTCTGTCGCGCGACCGTCACACGTTTTTTTTACCGCGATTCGCGGTAAAAAAATTGCGCGACCGTCGCGCGATTCCGAAGGCTACTTGGCTGTATCCCAATGGAAAACGCCCTCCAAAACGGCCCAAAGAAGTACATGTACTTGTTTGGGCGTCAGCCGTTTTGTAGGGCGTTCAGACGGGCGGAAATACGGAAAGGTGTGAACCATACCCATAGAAAACAATGGGATTTTCATGGTTGTACGTTTTGTAGAGCGTTCATAGAGTGTTGAACACCCGACAAAAAACGGAAAGGTGTGAACGGGGCCTTAAAAAAAAAAAAAAGAGCGTGGGATGATTGTTGGCGCTCGGAGCCATGGAGCGAGTATCAGCAAAACAGCAGAATTCATTAAATGTTCAAGAGCAGCTGTTGTTAAAGTGTTTAAAGACCGGACTGTCAGCCGGAAATCTGGGTCTGAACGTGCGAATTGTGGCCGTCAGCGACTAGTCAATGTTAGGGCAGAACGGGGGAGGGGCGAGACTGATACAAGACAACAGAAGGGCAACAGTGCAGGGTCAGATTCCTCGCATCACCTTTCATCATCTCGTGGAGTCATCTCGTGGCCCAATGAAGTACTGATGGGGTGGTCATAATAATCTGGCCACTCAATGTATATATATGGTAATACAATTGATTTCTCTCCCTTTAAAAATTGCCCGACCAGCTCAAACCCCTTTGTACAACAACATCATTTTGGCGATCCTTTAAGCTCCAGCTTCTCAATGGCTGAAAAGA